TCGGGTGCCGCTGGCCTCGGTGCTGGCGCTGGTCTTGGAGGCAGCGCCACCGGTTCTCTCGGTGCCGGTGCCTCGGGTGCTGCTGGCCTTGGTGGATCTGCCGGCCTTGGTGGTAGCGCTACCGGTGCTGCTGGCGCTGGTGCCTCGGGTGCTGCTGGCCTTGGTGCTGGTGCCGGTCTTGGAGGAAGTGCTACCGGCTCTCTCGGTGCCGGTGCTTCCGGTGGTGCCGGTGCTGGTCTTTCTGGATCTGGCTCGGCTGGTCTCTCTGGATCTGGATCTGCTGGTGTCGGTGCCAGCCCCAGCGGCAGTGTCGGCGCTGGCCTCGGTGCTTCCGGCGGTGCCTCGGGTGATGTGAGCGGCAGCGGATCTGGCTCTGCTTCTCTTGGTGCCGGAGCTTCTGGCAGCGGTGATGACGATACTGACGTCGGTGTTTCCCCCACGACTGCGGAAGCTCCCAGCGCCACCACCACTTGGGTCAGTGCCTCCACCAGCGTCTCTCTCGGTCCTTACGGCGGCGCCAGCGGTAGCATCACGGCTGGAGGATCCACGGGCGGCGACGACAGCGACGATTCCGGTGCCGGAGCTGATGCCGATGCAGATGCGGATGCTAGCGCGGATGCCGATGCCAGCGCTGATGCGGACGCCTCTGCCAACGCGGATGCCGATGCCTCTGCCAGCGGTAGCGGAAATGCTGATGCCAACGCTAGTGCTGGGGCCTCCGTTAGTGGTAGCGCTGAGGCCTCTGCTAGCGCTAATGCGAAGGCTTCTGCGTCCCTAAACTTCTCTGCTTAAGGTATGTATCACTTTTCATCCTGAGATTTTGGCCTGGCTGCTAACATGTCAATAGGAGTTACGGCGTTGGTATCGATCGATCGCTCTAAAGTGACACCACACTACCTTGAGCTTCCGGGAATCGATTGTTTCAAAATCGTTTAGGTATATCTTATGGGATGGGAATGGGTTCAATGCTGTCATTCGTTTCATGATTATATTGTCTAATTATTTGCGTCGTCCTTTGTGACGAATTCAACTTACACTGAGATTGAGAGGATCCAGGCCAGTCTGTCATAGTCATAATCTGAATTCAAGCCTGTTGATAAATATTATTACTCCTTTTTCCTCAAGTGTATTTTCAGTAGCATGACTGAGCATTTTATGAGTAGTAATGACCGTCTTACCTGGTCTGTACTCGATAGACGAAACAATTTTGTTCAGTTAGCCTTCTGAAGAGTGTGGGTGATCTCACAGAAAGTAGTTGTGCAAGAGATCGAGAAAAAGAGTGGGTACCAAAAATGAAGTGACGAAGCGAACGGCTTGCTAGGTACTGACACTAACGGGTAGACGAGTGAGCCGCAAAATAAAAAAACGAAAAAGAATGACCTACGCAGGATTCGAACCTGCAATCTCTTGATCCGTAGTCAAGCGCCTTACCATTGGGCCAGCAGGCCAATTGTTGAGATTGGTTAGAAATAAATGTTATATAGACCAAGGAAACGCATTGGCAGTCGGCCGATTTTCAATGGCTAGTCTTATAGATTCTTCAGTGGGTATCGTGGCGGTCTCTTACTGTCCAACCTGACGTGGTAAGCCCTTGAACGTATGCTTATACTTTTAGAATTATCGATCTCTACAGGTGTAGCTGCCGACTAATAATGCCTTAGCCTCCGTGAGAACCCCTGTCAGATCCCAGCGAGTATTACCGGTTTGAATGTCAAGTTGAATGGGCTGATATGTTGCAGTAAGCAAAGAGATTAGTAATTTTACATTTTCTCTTACCCATGGTGACAATTCAACCACAATTCCCACTGAATGTAGAGACTATCCTCTCTTTTGATGACTCGCCAGAAATAATCAATTGTGTTGGTAAGGCACTTTACAATGTTTTCTCGAACATCTGTATCACCTGCATATCTCCTCATTTCTGGGAGGGAGGAAATGTACCCCAACGACACCGCAAAGTCCAGAAGCACTATCAATGATCTGTTTTAGCTACGCCAGTGGATCTGCAGGCTGGGAAAGTATACCCAGAATAGATTTAGTTTTCCGCTCAAAATTAGTGTTCCCTTGTGTCGCCCTGACGGCGTATCTCGCGTGGTCAGTATGCCGGCGATCCTCTAATCATATTCGCACTCGAGGTTGCATATGCCAATGAACATATTCCATGGATGGCTCAGGTATGGACCAAGTCATTTTGCTGTGATATGCCTACTCAACAGCTTCTTTGCCCCTGTAAGGCTGCGGAGTAATTGTACCAGTAATTCTTATGGCAGAGACAACACGTGTATCAGATACTTTCTGCGCTCCCTGTACTAAGCAGTACGCTATACAATTCCTTGAACGAAGGCCTTACTCACATGCCTCGTGATACAATGTACATTTAAAAGCGCGAGCCAAATAAGTGAGGTTATAGTCATGGTCTTGGCATCGGCTTGTGCTTGAACACGTTTAGGATGCACAGTGATAGATCTAGTGAGTCACGGAAGTCGGCGTCTATAGAAGACTTAGTTATCCAATTAGACGGACCTTCTTATCTATCGTTCCAAGCCTACTTCCAGCACATACGACCATAGGGTGTGGAAAACAGGGCTTCCCGTCCGCTCAGCCGTACTTAAGCCACACGCCGGGAGGTTAGTAGTTGGGTGGGTGACCACCAGCGAATCCCTTCTGTTGTATGTTTTTGTCTTTTTATCTCATGTTTTGATTCCTAGATATAAAGGGGAGAAAGCCCAAACTATGAAGTCAAACTCTTCGTGATGGCTGATTGTTTTGAAGGGTCCACATGCATACACAAGAGTACGGAGATGACCGACCGGAAGACCCTTGAAAAGGAACTGATAGTCATTTATTTGACCATTTCCTTTGATAATTAGTAGAAACAATAAGTGTCGAGGTCATGATAGTGAATCAGGACCTGGTTGACAACGCCATCAGTAGCTTCATGGCCTCATATGCCGCAGTCCAACGCACACCTCTCAAGTACCGGCCGACTTCAACAGTAAGACCATGCGTACAGCACTTTCCCAAAGTGCGGCGAATATTCGCTGGAGATACGGACCCCATTAGCGATACCATATGGTTCATCAACACCCTAGACTGTGTCTGGGGCATGTCTCTCTCGGCGGGATGTCTACATATCTCACGGGCATCTAATATCTCGCCACCGAAGCAATGAAACGCCCAGCACGTCAGCGTCCCTATAACCAAGCACCACGGGTAGTGGAATACACCATTTACATCCCAATTTCTCAAATTGAGAATCCCTTCACGCATCATCTGCGCCGCATGCCATGCTGCCTGATCTGCGGCGGTCGCATTTGTGCTGACCCAATTCCTAATCCACTCCTCAGACATGTGGCGATCTTCTGGCATCACTATATGTCCAAAGATAGCCTTAGCACCGGCAGCAGCTTGCAGGTGACGGACTTCACAGTTGATTACAATATGTGCGGTATGATACAGTGCCAGAGTGGCAACACTCTCTTGCCTGTGATTGCTCCTGTCTCCCTTGCTCTGAAATAGGCACATGGTATAGGCGTCGTAGTGTGCTTTCCACGTCTCCAGGGCATGGGCCATCCTCATTCGCCATGGTCTCCATTGCTCCCCGTCGTGGTCTATATCGCTTAGACAAATAGACTTGTTGTCGAAATGCGCAATATCGTTACACATTGACATAATGCCATGAAGAACCAGCGTGAGTGATAAACTGTCCATTGGTAAGCTTTGAAATTTATCTCCGTCTTGGATGAGGTCTTTGATCATGCTATTGAAGTATGGCGGCTCAGCGTGAGATTTCCGGATATGTTCCCAGGCTGTTTCGCTGGGCGCTTCCCATAACTCTTGGGAACATGGAAGCGGGACTTGGATGTTGTGCGTGGACATGTTAGGCATCACAGAGTAGCAGGATACGTTTTGTGTGTCCCACATGAAGACGAAGAGAATCAATCTAGGTGATGATTGTTAGGAAAAGAAAGGAAGGATACAAAAGGAAGAAGTTGCGCACTCGAAGAAGAGAAGCTCAGATTAGATACCTTTTGTATTGCTCGGCGTAGGCAAAGCCCTTCCAGCCCAGGTGGGGTTGGACTAGGTGACTAGGGAGCATTATCCCCCCGCGAACATGATATCGGGATACCCGCCGAATGGCCTAAGCTTAGACATGAGCAAATGAAACGTTTCAACGACCGGGTGCATACTCACACCGAAAAGAAGGGTGTGAATCAAAATAGCGTTTTCGCGCTGATACGGGCCAGCTCGATACATGCCATAGCATTCAAGAATAAGAAAAGCCTGTAGCATCGATAGATCGGGCATCGGAACGCTCATCAGTCCGCTAAGGATATACGGCACTAGGGCATCGTATAGGTACACGGACAGTTGATGAGTGTCTTTGTTCTTGTATGTCTGACCTAAAATGATTATGGAGAGTAGAAAGACAGGGTCCCCTCCTTCTATGTCAAGAGTCGCCACATGGACCATTGGGTAGGAGGAATTGAAAAAGCGGAAGAATAGACTGATATAGTCTTGCATATCATCTATCGACAAGAGCGCAGTATTGCCATCGATGGTGGTGCCTTCTGGTGTCACTGGACGTATTTCTGATAGAAGCCTGACAATGTCGTCTCGTTTGGAAACAGAAAGGGCGATCCTGCCACCTGGGAGATTGACTTCTTGGGCCTCTTCATTCTCCTCAGTCTGTAGGAACACGTCGTGTATAAGGGGCTCGAGACACTGTTATTGAGTGGTCAGCATTCTCAGCACATTATGCTCACATGATGATAATGGCCAGCCTAGGGTTGCGGAAGAATATGCTTCCTAGACGTAGGTATATCCTTACCATTGGATCGTGTCGAAGTGGGGTGATATTAGTGGTGCTCTGCACAATGCATGTCGACCGACTATCATGTCTTGGGATGGCCGTTTCTGGACGACTGGACTGGATTTCTGTACACTCCCGGCTAATCGGCCTGTCAGGGGTAGGGTGAAGATTCTGTACCTCCTGGTGGTGATTCTGTTCCTCTACTTCATTCTGAGGTAGAGTCTGACCCGTGGCTAGAGGCGAGAGGGCCAAGCCCATTACATCAAAGTGCACCGCATCAAAGGAAGTGTCGTAATACATATTAATTAGTTCATCCATGTTTAAAGAGTCAGTCATTACATTCGCAATGGGCGCTGCATCCAGTAGTGGCTGAGAACTCGGGGAATGGCGTTCGGACAGCTGTTGACCCGCAACTGCATCATCGCCAGTGCCTTCATCTCGAATTTGGGCGTTGATTTGACTAGAGGAACTAGGATCTGCCGGTCTCGTGAAAGGCTCAACCTTGTCTGTATCCTGCTCCAGGCCCGCAGGCCGAGGGGAGATTGGAACCCTAGCCATATGGGAGCCAGATATAGTTTTCCGGCGGGTCTGGAGTACGCCTAGCCCTGCACCACCAGCCAGACCATCCTTGACCGTATGGCGCGCTTTGTGTCGTTCTATAAGGAAAATTAGATTACGTCGCCAGATTAGACCGTAGATGCATACCCAATAGGTCTAATCTCTTGAACGAGGCATGGCATCGACCGCAGACCCAGCGGGTCTCTGAGTGGTTCAGCGAGTGTCGTTGCAGGTGAGACAACCGAGTGAAGGTCTTATCACACCCTGCCATGGAACAGCGATAATGCTTCTCCCGTGAGCAAGTAGCTTGTGGTTTTTTCCTGCCCAGAGTCATGCTTGCGTCCTAATGCTCCCTCCGCTTGAGATTTTGCGGTGTGGTTGCGATATAGAACAGAGAACTATGATGAACTCGTCGATTGCAGAAAAATGGGTGTTAGATATTGGAGGTCGAGGTTATGCTTCACCGTTGGCTCTCTGGATGCAAGCTAATCGGCCCGTGCGCACTCCTTTCCTCCATACAAAGGTCAAAATTGGGGCTCGGTCGTTCTGCCTATGTGTGTTGGAACAATCAGATGCGATCACTGTCAATAACAGAAATTATTACATAGGCAGAGTCCGAGGGACTCAAATGATCCTCCATAATTTGGAGAGGATGTTATCTGTCCTTGTGCCGATTAAGAAGCAAGATAAGAGCCG